GTCAAGAAACAGAGATGGGGCAGGAGATGAGAGTGCTTACAACACGTTCAACAATGTCGAAGATCTTTCAAATGTGATTGGAGGGTGTGTGTAGAAGAGTAGAGAAATGGAATGTGAAAAAATTGTTCGGACCAGACTATGGGGAGCCTTCTAAAGCTGAGCTAAAGAGATAGGACTTTATTCTGTTGGCAGTGGGAAGTCATTGAAGGATTTTGAGGCAAGGTGAGGTACTTCTGCTAAGCATTCTTTGAGAAAAATGGCTCCAACAGGGTACATAGGATTGGATTGGTGGGTGAAAGTGTCTGAAGGCAGAAACACTGTAGTGGGTTTAATGGTGACCCTCAAAAATTCATGTCCAGCCAGAATCTCAGAACGTGACCTTATTTGGAAATAGAGCCTTTGCACATGTAATTAGTTAAGATGAGGTCATACTGGCTTAGGGTGGGCTCTAAATCTAATGCCTGGTGTCCTTAAAAGAAGAGGAGAGGACACACAAAGATGCGTACAGAGAGGAGAACACCATGTGTAGGTGGAGACAGAGGGTGGAGTGATGCTTCTCCAAGCCAAAGAAGACAAAGGATGGCCAGCAACCACCAGAAGCGAGGAGAGAGGCAGGGAAGGGATACTCCCTCCGAGCCTCCAGGAGGAATCGACCCTGCTGACACCTCGATTTCAGACTTCTGATCTCTAGAACTGTGAGACAATAAGTTTCTGTTGTTTTAAGCCACGCAGCTCGTGGTCCTTTGTAACAACAGCCCCAGGAAACTAACAGAGACCAATAAAGAATCTAGCTGGAATTCAGGCTCTGCAAATGACCCCTGAGACCAAAACAAGGCCTTGGAGAGAAACAATATTTGAAAAGAATAACCAGTAAGAAGTCATAACTGAGGAAGAACCGAGCTATAGCAGATCCAACTCCAAATTCATGGTGAGTGGGGACTCTCATTTCACTCTTGGGCCAGCTCTCTAGGATGTGAATTTCTAGGAAGCTTCTAGTCCCGGAAGGTGCTCCTGGGGGTAGGGGTTAAATCTGGCCTCCCAATCTTGGAGTCAGACTGGAAGCAATGCAGGGTGACCTCGGGCAATCCTAGCCCAAAAATGAGTAAATACATACTGTAAATCAAACTGTCTTGTTTGTTTCTCTTTTTTGTTTTTCTTAGGGAAAAATCTCTAAAAAGTCTAGAGAATCGTCTATAGAGTCCGCAGTGTGCAAAAAAGCCAAAGAAAAGCAGCTCCCCTTGAGGGCTGCATGGTGAGAGCAAGAACTTTTGAGAGTCCCAAAGGGAGGGTGAATGTGGAGGGAATAGCCTGCCCGTCCCGACATCCAGGTTTACCCTCCCACTTTGCAAGACCTGGGATTTATGACTGAGGGGGCAACAGATTTCCACGGTGTTCCTGTCTCCCCTCTCAGCTGGCACGTGTTGCAAGCAGAGCTCAGCCTCCCTTCCCCAATCAGGAGTCAGGCAGCCCTACAGCTGAGGGCACAAGGACCCAGACTCTCACCGCTACGCCTGTGCCTGGGGCGAAGTCTAGGGAGAGGTGGATTTTGCTCTTGAGAGACCATCCCCCGTCCCTGTTCCTGGAACCCCTCCCAGCGCATCGGGAAGCTGTCAGTAAAGAACCCACAGGGCTGCCTCTTAAAAGGGGAAAAGCAAACAATACTTCAGCCTGGGTACCAATTATCCCTGGACCTCGCCTACAGGTTCTGGTTCTTTCGAGGCCCCTACGTTTCTCACGGCTGGCGGTTACTCTGAAAATGAAGAAGGGCCTTGTCCCCAGGCTTGGTCCTCACTGACAATGCAGCCACCTCGCCCCACAGCTGGATATTGTCCTTCCCAGTCTCAGAGCTGCCCTCTCCACATCCAATCCCCATTTGTCCCCCAAAGTGCCATTTGTTTCTCTTAAAATACAACTCACAGCAAGGGTTAGAGGTGCTCACCCCCATCTTTCACCCACTAGGTTGGCACAGTTGGAGGAAATGAGTTTTAATAACACAAGCTGAGGGCCTGTTGGGGCTGGAAACACTCTCACGCTTTGCTGTGGGAGTGTCAGTTGACGTTAATTTCCTTGAAGGTAAAATCTGGAATGGCAATTTTTACTTTGAATTTGTTCTGCCTTCTGACCCAGAAATTCCACTTTTAGAAACTTATTCTAAGAAAATAAGGTATGTATACAAATATTCTGCTAGAAGGATATTCATCTTGGCCTCATGTACAATAGAAAAATAAAACTAAATAGCATCGAAATATCCAAGACAGGGAAGTTATTTAAATAAATTTCGGAACAGTCACGCATGGGAATATTATCTAACCACCCAAGTGGGTGTTGTAATACCAGTTGGCTTCAGGGACAAGAACTGGGTGGGTCAGAGACAGGCAACTTTTCACAGAATGCTCGTGTGTACCTGTTGCATTTTGAATCCTCTGAATCTTAGCTATCAGGTAGACAGGTAGGTAAAACTTTAAAGGATGTTTTGGAAGAATAGTAGCTTGGACAGAAAAAGGTATTCAAGAAATATTAAGTGAAAAAGATACTTTGCAAAGTAAGAATGTACTGCGTGATACTATTTCTACTAAAAAACAAAAACAAAAGTCTGGAAGGAAGTTACTCCAGGTTTAACAGTATATATTTCCAATGGGTAGAATTACGGGTTATTTTTATTTTCTTCTTCCTTAGACGTATCTCCTAGCTTTTCTATAAGGCATGTGGGATTTTTTCCTTAATGTGGGTGGGATGGAGCAGTAAAAGATATTTTTAATTTTTTAAAAATGCTCCAATCATGAGTCTGGCACTTTCTCTCCTTCCTGTCTTGGTCAAACTTCTAAACAGAATAAAGGGACTTTCTGTCTTCTCTTTCCTCACCTCCCTACCCTACCCAACCCCACCCAGAAAGCAGCCTGCTCCCTCCCTCGCTCCGCTGAAATCTAGGTCCCGCTCCTACCTTTCCCTGGGGGAATGCCCCACCCTTATTGCCAAATCCACTGGACGTTTTCAGCCCTCCTTTTACTGGCCTCTGTGCCGCATTTGTGCTCAATGATTTAATAACATTAATTTCGTACCTACTGTATGTCAGACATGTTGGGTACCATAGGGGACATCACTGCCCTCCAGGAGTTCCTTCACAGGCTGGTGGGGGACAGCCCTCCCACCTCACTCTCTGGGTTCTCTGCCAAACTCTCCTCTCTCCCCTGCCTGGCTCTCTCTGCCTCATCTGGCTCCTCGGTCCTGTCCCTTACACATTTGTCTCCAGGGATCCCTCCTCGCCCACCGCTCCCCCCACCCTCCCTGGGCTGCATCTCCCATCAGCTCTGATCACAGAAGCCTCGTGAATGCTGATGTCCAACAGCCTAGCCCAGTCAGGAGCCATGGACACCTTCCTTTCCATTTCCCCTGAGGCCACAGAGACATCGCCATGGTCACCCCCACCTTGCAACTCTGTTCCTTTCTTATTTGGTGGCATGTACCCAGGGCCACCCCTACACGTGCAATCACTCATTCCCTCCGCTCGAGCCCACCTCCCGTCCTCCACGCTCAGCGTCTATCTCCTGCCCGGTCCATTGCAGCCGCCCGCACTCTTGCCCTACTCTTAACCTCACTTGGATCTGTCCCCCACAGACTGCAGCCAAAGAGTTCCATCCAAACGTCCGTCTGACCCTTGTGCTGCCCTGCTGCTCACTGTCTCTGCCTCCCCATCCCTCTCCACACCCACCTCCCACTTGTTTCCTCGATACTCAGTTCCCCCCTTTCTCCCCCTCGCCCTGTTAACCTTTGTGCCTTTGCCCACACTGGTGCCCCCATCGCTTAAATTCTCTCACCACCCACTCCCGGCCTGGCTAAGTCCTATCTTCATGGGATTCAGCTCAGGCTCCCTCTGCTCCAGAAGCCCACAGGAACTTAGGCCCCTGTGGGCAGCCCTCTTCTGGGATTCTGTCACCACCAGAGCAGAGCGCTCCCTCGGTTACATGGACGTGACCAATGCTCTTGTGCTTTTCTCCCATGTCAATGGTCAACCCCTCTAGGACAGCCACTGGGAATAACCCTCACCACATTCTCAGCTCTTATCACAATGCCCAGCCAACATAGGCACGTGAGGAGTGAGCCAACAGCTGCTACCATCACAAAGAAACCAGCAGAAAGTTCGCCCCCGGTGGTGGAGCTGTTGCTTAGGTCTGAAAGCACAGAAGGCCTGAGTGGGAGCTATAGGGGTTCCTTTGCCCGTGTGTAACCAAGGCCCTGGAGACCCCAGTGATGGGCCCCACCTAGGAGGAGGGCGCCGTGACCCAGGCACTGCCTGGAGTGTTCCCTTGGCCTCCTGTTGATCCCAACCAGCAAAGAGACCCTGCCAGTGACAGGCCGAGCCAGGCCAGCCTGAGGGCTCTACTCCCCTGCCCAGGGACACAGAGTTGGTCTGAGAGCCTGGGTCCACCAGGAAAGTGGGATCCTGAGCCCACTGGCAGGAGAGCCCCCAATGATGCCTGGACCTAACGTGGGGGATGAAGAGGAGCAGAGCACCAGGAGGGCCACGTGTCCTGAACCTCATTCACAAAGGGCCTCAAACCACAGGCCTTCCCTCCAAAGGAGGGTCTATCCAGCCTAATTATACTTTTATGTGTTAAAAAGCATTCATTTATTCAGCAATTAAATAGACTGTACAACCTACAATTTTTTGTACCCATTTTTGGCATTTTTCTTTTTTTTTTTAATATTCAAGGTACTCAAAAAATGGAAAAGATCAGGGCCTTTTTCCATCTCTAAAACACCCTCTCGATGCTGACACAGAGTGGATGGCAGCACTGAGCAGTCCAGGTGTCAAAGGCAGGGGAGGCCTCTTCTCCAGCCCCCTCCCAGTGCACCCCTCTCCAGCCTCTGACGGTCTCGGAGTCATAGGAACAAGGAAGCACCAAGCCTTGGGAGGCAGGGCCCCCGGGTAGGGAAGGGGTGTGGACACCTCTACCTCAGAGACATCCAGTCTTCTCTCCCGGTGCCCAGGAGAAGGGCAAAAGGTTATTAAATTCTGCACATAAATCCCCATATAGCCCTGCCCCATCTCTGTGGGTTGTGCGCACCCAGCCACCTGCCCAAAAAGACACAAGAACCTTGGCAATGAATAGGCACAACTCAGTGGGACAGGAGAGAGGCCATAGGAGGGGGCCAAAGTCCTCCAGCCACAAACCTCCTCTGCTGGGCCTGCCAAGGCTCCCATACCAAGTTTCTCTTCAACTAAGGCAGGGAGAGCCCCTGGAAAACAGTCAGGCAGTGACAAGAGTGTCTCACAGGCAGGTGTGGCTGGCCCAGAACCCGTGCTGAGAATTCAGTTACTAAGTTGATTCATCACACGTTCACTGAGCATCCCCAGTGTGCCAGCTGCTGTGTCCCCACACAAAGGTCTGGACCACATCCTTGAGGCCTGATAGCCCTCCCGGCAGCAGGGCCAGAGCACCAACCTCCGAGAATTTTAGAGAGAGAAAATTCCGATGGCAGTTGAAGGCAACCGTTGAGTGAAGCCCCGGGGACAGCAGAATCCACAGGGGAGCACAGAGGGGGAGAGGCTTCTTCAGGGCCTGCAGGGGAAGGCGATGGGAGAGAGGAAGGGGGTCAGCAGAGATCCAGCTGGCACCTTCAGGGAAGAATGTGATACGGTCCAGGAGGAGAAGTTGGCGGGTGCCATTATCAGACGGCCTAAAGGCAACCTTTGTGCATCGTTTGAGGGCCAGCCCCAAGGATGAAAACTCACAGCCTCTACCACAGCCACTGACTCACTGGATCGTTCTTAGCCCAAAAGGCGTGAGTTTTGGCTGCCTCTGGGGCCAAACTATAGGTGGGTGCTGTGAATCAAGATCAAGCTCACGCCAAACATTCAACTATTTTACAGAAAGAGATTGGCAATGGCAAGTTCAAAGGAACTGGCCAATGACAAGCCTGAGGAGGGGATACGCAGAAGGCACGTCTGTGAGCGGGCATATTGCCTGGTGTCCATCAGATTGGGTAGGCGGTGACACCACACTAAATCCGTAAAGAGTTGCCGAACATTCTCAGCTCAAAGTGCCCTGAGAGTCCCAAGACTGCTTTGCAGTACTCCTGGGCTGAAAGAAATGCCTGATAGTTCCATTAATAGGCAGTTAGGTCAAAACAACTTAATAGCGTGGTGCCTGGCAGATGTCACTGTGTTCGCTTTGAAAATCTTTCAATATTCCGTGGCACTCTTGTGAGTCCGTCACAGTGCCCTGGGGCACCCCGGAACAGAATTTGGGAACCACAGACCCAAACCACTGGTTGAGTCCTTCCATAGTTACCACCGAGTATCAGAGGGAAAGATGGCAAGCACGATTGTCTCAATTTTTTTTTAATTTAGTTTAAAAAGTGCCACTGTTGCCCAGCTGGTTTCTGGCAAGTACTAGTCTTCTCGGGAATCTTTGCCCGTAAGGAATAGTTTCATTGACTCAAGTCCACACTGTGAAAGTTGTTAAAGCATCTGGAAGGATGTTCCCCAGGGTCTCAAAAAGTTTTCCCCGTCAACACAGAAATTTAATCTTCAAAATGCACCCCATTTTAAAGTGCCAATAGCGGTGACATTAGGTTTCACACAGTGGCATTCTTGGCCTCGTCCTAGCTGTCATTGTCCTCTAGTCCACGTCTCCATGCTTTCCCCGACGAGATCAGAGCCTTCTCAAAGGCAGAGGTGGTGGCTTCAGCCCTCCCCCACCCAGGCACAGTGCCAGCCGACACGGGGGCTCACAAGTGCTGGTTGTGAGAAATGGCCACCTGTCACTGCTGCTTCAGGGTGTCCTCAGGGGTGATGGAAATGACAATAACGAAGTAAACACCTCACTCACTGGTGGCCTTTGCTATCTTACATGAGCTCAGCAATGGATCCAAGTCACATTAGACCCATTCTTGGTATTACCAACCGGAAGTAAATGCAAGTTCCAATCGCCTGAGGCCCAGGCCTGGGAAGTAGCCCAGACTAGACTGACCCCGGAAGCCATCCCTTCTCTGGGTCAAGTTAATTTTTCTACCCTCTTCATGGTGTATTGAAGGCCGGGGAGATGGGTAGCACTGAGAAGCCGGAACAAGGGAGGAGGGAGGGACATGAGGGAAAGTTCTCTGTCAGCAGGGAAATGAAGGGGGTTTTGAAAGCAGCAAAGAAGAATGCATACTTTAAGTTTCGAAAGCAGGGGCTTCCATGCTAGAATCCCAATTTCAGTTATTTCTACCCGCTATCCACACCTGGAGGACCAACCCCTTTGAACTACTCTCTTCCTGGTTTCCACAGCAATTAACAAGCACAAATAATTCTGAAATCTCTGTGAAATCACTCTAATGAAGTATGTAGTATATATTCAAGGCAGTGTGCTAATAAATACATACAATTTTTTCCTTGGTAAAATGTGCCATCTCTCTGGGTAGCTCTCCTACCACCCTGATTCGGGGATGCCCCACACAGCGCATCTTCCCAGCCAAACACTGTCACCGCTAGAAGCCACACAGGAGCATCATGTGTACACACACACACATTCATATTCTTTCTCCTCTCTCTTAGCATTCTGGACGCCATTCTCTGATCCTCAGTAATTTGAGAAGCATTCCTGCAGTGAAGGATCAAAGTCTTGCCCTCTTTCCTCTTTCTCGAATGCAACCGGCAGCCAGCAGAAGTGCCTGCTTTGACTGAGGAATCTGGCAGGGCCGGCCCCCTCTCCAGACCCTTGTGCTTTCTCTAATGGTCTCCCAGTGGGCCCTGTGAGTCTGATCTGCCGGGAAGAGGGTCCCCATCTCTGGCACCTCCGACTCTTCCAGCTGATCTTGGATTTCGTGCTTTTGGCAAAGATGAGCGCTTGTCCCTGCCCATCCTCTAAGCTCAAATAGTAACATGGCCGAGAATGCTGCTGACTTCCTGACAAATCCCTGTTTTCCCATCCCGCCTCACCATTGACCAGTTCTTTCAGGTTCTGCTTGGCTTTCTTTTTCCAGTCTGTGCATCTCAGAAGCTAACATGAATAGCCGCATGCATGATGAAGAGCCGCAGCATTTAGACAGCTAGAGATACATCCAGAGTCCCCTAAGGTGCTTTCCTGTCACAGTCCTTCCCATCCAGGGGCCCCCGAATGTCATCCTACCAAGGAGAGACGGGGCCCAATGACATAGTCACCTATCCCGGGCTGTCAGCTCCACGAGGCCAAAATACGCCCTGAGCTGCGGGTTTGGTCTTTTTGGGCTCGTCCAGGGCCAGCTGGGCCCAGCACTGGTGTCCTAGTCTAGGCCAATGTTTTTCAATTTTGGGGGACCCTAAAGCCACGGCAAGAAATAAATCTAGTAAACTTTTCATCACCAGCCAGTACAGATATTTAGATATAATGTAAGTATAGGTATGGATACATGTACATACAATTGAAAAAAAGAAAAACTCACTTTCTGTAAGCAATACACTGGGGCTCTTGTTTCAAAGTGCTGCCTGTAAACCACTAAATTGATTTCACAACCCACTAATGGTCTGTGACCCCTAGTATGGAAAACTCTGCTGTGTGAGGCAGGCGATGCGTCTTCTGCCTTGCACCTTGGCAGGCAGCCTTTTATGCTTAAGGAATACCAAGGAAAGTTCCCAATCTGAGCTGATCCAAGAGGCCCTCTCCACCCACCACGTCCCCCTGGGGAGGCTGTAAGAAGTCTGGCTGCTCTGCTGCCTAAGGAGTTTCTGCTCCTGGCAACATCTCACAGAGGCCAGGCTGAGCACAGGGCAGGACTCGGCCCCCATCCCTCTCCATGGCTGTCTTCCCTGAACCACTCCATTCTCCTCTTCTTTCTTCCCATTGTTTACAAGATTTTGGGGTGAGCGGCAGCTGAACCTGGGGCGCCTCGCAGCTCTAGTGGGAGGGGAATGGGCAGAGAGAAGTGGGCGTGAGGTGGAGGAAGGAAAGGGCCAATCCCGCTCCTGGGTGTGGGGACAGGCGCCATCCCCATCCCCGGGATAATGGCTGGTTGGCACCGCAGCCCACGCAGGCCTGGGCACCAGCCTTTGTCCACCTTCCTGCTGCCAGGCAGAGGACCCCATCTTTCAGATCCCAACCCTTTTCTCCGCCCAGAAAAACCTTTCCATGACAGAGACCATCCGTGACCCTGAGAACCCAGTGCAGGGCGGGTCATCACCCACACCCTGAGTGGCTGGAGTCTGGGAGCATGAGATGGCATTCAGTTCCAGCTAAAGGAGGGTGAGACCCTGAGAGTCACTTGACAGAGTATTTTAGTTTTGTCAAAAGAAATCTGCAGTTTTCCGGCCCTCCTCACACTGCCATGGCCACCACCCCCTGGGTAGGCGGACTGGGAGCAGACAAGGGGCCTTTGCCACCCCGGCCGAAAGCTCCCAGCTGCTCACCCCTATGTGCACTCTCATTCTTTCCTTAATTCCTCTCTGGGTGGTGATGGTTGCTCTGCACCGATTTGACGTTCCCTCCCCTTAAACAGATGGTATTTGTTGTGTTCATGATGCTATTTCCAGCCCCACCAGCTCTCCGCTGACCTGCAGCCAGGTCGCCCAGCCCTCAGCCTGCCCCAGAAGCCCGGGTGGCCACTCCCATTGCTCCACACCGGAACAGCGACTTCCGCTCAGGCCACTCTAGGGCTGGGGCTGTGTTGGTATTCCCTGTCAATGGGTACAAGACTTTTCCTTTTTCCCTCAAGAACACAAGGAGCCACTTCCAGACTTTTATTTCCTCTCTTCATTTCTCCCTGGTCAATTCATCTCAGCCCAGGTTTCTTCCAGTCCAATCTTGGCATTAGTGTTGTCGACGTATGCATCTCTCCAATGGAATATCACAATTCCCCTAGACGTGTTCCTGGGGATCACAGGAGAATCTTAAACCCACAAGCCAGCAGAGTGAGTAAGTACTGTTCTCAGGCCCTTTGTTGATAAAGGCTGAGGTTTCAGAGAACCAAAAAACACAATCCATGCCCTCAAGGAATTTACAGTGTCTTTGGAGAGAAAGACAGACAAATATAGGCAGCCATACAGGCAGCAGGAGGGAACTTAATCAGTTCAGAAGATTCCTAAAGAATGCCAGGTCACTGAGAGGAGAGGTTAAGCTGGAATCTGAAATTCAAGGCTCTCAGTAGGTGGGACGTGTACCAAGTACT